AACACTTCAGCTTACTTATCCTTCTTTTATCTTGATAGTTACTTAAAAATACTTTACATATATGGAGTGACTGATATGATAATGATAATGATACCTTTAGGGGGTGAAAATGGAATGGTAACACGACAGTGTCAGTGATCAGATCAGTTGGCCTATAACGAATTCAATAAGAATTCAACACGTTGATTTCCAATGGCTACCGCTTGGACAGGTCGACCACCTGATCGTATATTGTTAGTAATGAATGACCAATGGGGGCCATTGGCCATTACTAGATTTGTTTATTATTATTGTTTTTTTTTATATTCCCAATAAGATAAAACACAAAATTATAAATATTAAAATGTACCTACTCTGTTTACTTAAAATCTCACCCTTTCGAAGCTTTTACCTATTTGTCATTGCAAAGAGTGAAGGTAAATTATAGCATTACATTGTAGGTTAATAGCAGCGGAAGACTGAACCATTGTTGAAATAAAACTAATTGGATTCGAAATACGTGACCTGGTATAAATCAAGAGTAAATATTATATGCATAGTTCAAACACACATGTTGTGTGATGAATTTGACTAAATTGGTCAATAGGATTTTTTTTATTTATATTAGTGTAGATTAGTCAGCAACCAATCTAAGTTGTTATTGGAATTCTACAACAACAATAAAAGAAAATCTTATGGTTCTTTGGCGTGTGTCTATACGTTACTAACGTAACTAAGAACTAGATCATTTAAATTAAAAAATGGTAAGATCTTTTCTTTTATTTTTTTATTGATCATAATATTTCGATATGTGATGACACAGACAATAACATTCTTTATTCTTTATTGTACACAAAAGGTTATTGACGTAAAATTAATGTAAAAACAAACATAATAGTGCACAAAGGCGAGCTTATTTCCAATAGAGATTTATTATCTCCAATAAATGCCTGTAGTAATAAATTCATGAACAGGAGCAACATATGAGTTAGTAATTTCTATCAAATCCATAATTATTATATATATATATTCTTTATTGCACTTGTAAGTTACATATAAAATAATGTATTTATAAATGTTGTGAGCAAGGGTGGACTTATCTCTGACAGAGATCTCTTCCAGTCAACCCAGTACAGTAAGAAAGCATTTCGTTAGCGGGCAGCTAAAGTGCTACAACTATTAATAAATAAACAAAATACAATTAAATAAAATACTAAAATATATAATAAAATATTACATAAATACATACACTATATATACATATAATACCTACCTACTTATATAATAAATGTTAAAATAAATGAATCTACTATTATTTACATCATGATGGATTAACTGACCTGTTTTTATTCTCATAGTCACCCTTCATTGGTTTCCCGCAAGCGTATGGCAGATGAGGTTGCTATTCCATTTTCACCATAAAAGAAAGCCTATGAGTTAGCTGAACCTAATTCACCTATGGATATTATAGTAGATACTTAGTAATTACTCGCTTCTGGGAAAAAATAATAACGATTTTGTGTAATACTTAATAGAAATAATAATAATATGTATATATAATAAGTGTGTAAATAATAATTAAAAAATGTGTAAACAATAATTAAAAAATGTGTAAAAAATAAGTGAGTAAACAATAACGCATAGTTATGTTCAGTATAATTATTCTTATAGTTGTATTAACAGCGTCATAACTTACGTACAATGGGACTTTATTTGTACTTTTCCAATCCATAATTTTAAATACCTTCTATATTTTTTTTATTATCACTCGAAAAGTATAAAAAATATATTCCCTTCTCCTTGTCTTTAAAAAATTGATGACTTAATTGAAATTGTAAAATATTTTACAAAACACTAATAAAACACTATAAAATTTTAATATAAAATAAAAATTATAGTTATATTTTATAAGAATTAATATAAGATAATTATTTATTATATAATAATTAAGTGATATAAATATTTTTTATAAAATATAATTAATTAAATTATACTTTATAAGAATGAATCACCGTGTGGTCCCGGCATAGAATAGGTTACAGTTTCTTTTCCCGTGGATGTCGTAAGAAGCGAAAGGAACTTAATGGTCGAGGGATGAGGAGCAGCGCCCCTTTTAAAACATCTCCAAGACCTAACTGTGGCTGCTAAGCTTGACAACTACTGGCAATTCCTCCCAAGAGGGAGGCCTATGTTCAAGACTAGACAATTAACTGTTAGTATTATGATGAAGGTATCAGAATAATAATAATTATTGTAACTAAAATATTTATATTAAAATATCTATAAATAGTTTTAAGCAACATTGGTGTGATGAACCAGAAGGTAGAGCTAGAAAAACTGAAATGAACTAACCACTCACAAATAAAATAGGGGTCCTTTCTCTACACTGGGTTTCTTTATGATGTAAGATAATATAATTAATGTAAATAAATAAATAATTATAATTATATTTACAATTATTTATTCCCAAAGAGGGTTGACGTCAGGCAGACGGCTGGTCGTAAAACTATAAGCTAAATCCTTTAGTAATATGGATAAAAAAACATATTACGCCGATCCCAAATAATAATTGGGATAAGGGTAGAAAGATGACGAGGATGATGAATTATATTTACAATTGTCAACCGACTTCAAAAAAGGAGGTTTCAATTCGGTTGTACTTTTTTTATGTTTGTTACCTCATAACTCCGTCATTTATAAATCGATTTGGCAAATTATTTTTTAATCTAATAGGATATACATTCAGATTAGTTTTATAGAAGTTATATCAAAATATGTACGTTCAATAGTTTAGTTTTTAAATCAAATTCGTCTAAATCTGATTTTCCTACAATTCGGTCGGTTTTTTTATTTAAAAAACAGTCTTAAATTATATTATAAAAGCATGTACAACTACGTACATAAAAATGAAAATAAATTAAATTTACAAACAATAAAATCCTTATGGTGAAATCTAATCTCGATTAGATTTCACCATAAGGATTATATGTGTTTGCAACATTAATTGCAAAATATATTTTGCTAAAAACTCATATTTCGGTGATAATGGTTGTCATGACATCTACACTATAGAAAAACATATTTACACATATTTCACAATATATATAAAACCTCCTTCCCCTCCCACTGTTAAGACTAAAATCTCCTCATACGAGAAGAATATTCATCAACTTACTGAACATAAACCTCCCCTAGGGGGATTTTGCCAGTAGTTGCTATGTTTGGCAAGCAGATTGGCAACCGCAGTTAGGCTTTGGAGATATTTTAAGAGCCACGCCGCGGCCCATTCCTCATCCTTACTTAGTCGCCTCTTATCACAATCACGGGAAAAGAAGGCGTGGCCTATTCTATTATTCTATGCTGAAACCACACGTTATGGAAGAGAATATTAAGACATTATTATATCACTCTTCAGGTAGCTTGGTATAAAGTCTATTTCTACTTTTCATCCTCTTATACTGAAGAGTTTTGGTTTCGGCACAAAGAAGACCACTCCTCCTTTTTCCCTTGGTATCATAAAACTAAGGAAACTAAATGGTCGAGGAATGAGCAGAAGCATCTCTCGCAAAACATCACCAAAGCTTAACTGCCATTGCCAACCCGCCCGCCAAATGTAGCAACTACTAAAACCCTCCTTATGGTATAGCAGTGGAAAGTTAACGCCTGATATAATAATAATAAAAAAAAACAAAAAAAAAAAACACTTGGCTTTGGCCCGTGTCTAAAACTATCTCTAAATGAGAGATATAACAAATTAAATAAAAATAATAATAATAATAATAAATACTAAAAGGCTACTACTACGTACGGACCTAATTCCTTATTACGACATCCTGGGGATGAAATTTTTTTTTATTTTATTTATTTCTTATTGCATTCCATAATATAATTAGTTGACTTAAATTATATGACTGTAACCAATAAACTATCAGTTTATCTCATATTTGGTTTGCTGGAAGATATCTCTTTTGGAGATAAGCTTGCCTTTGTGCACTATTATATTTGTTTTTCTACATCAATAACTTTTTATGTACAATAAAGAATAAATAAATAAATAAAAATATATTGTCTTTTTTAAACTACATAGAAAACAAATCTTTTTAATCTTATTGTAATTAAACGATGTTTGTACATGTACAGATTTTCCCAGGGAGATATTTAAGGAAAATTAATATGAGAGATAATTATAAAACATGCTGATGGACTGCCTGATGGAAAATGATAACTGTCATCTATAGACAAAAATGACCAGGGACATAAGAGAGTATACTGTATCACCCACGATACAATCCATGCGTTGCCTCTCCTGAGGACTTAGGTGATACGAGTAAAAGCAATAGAAACTAAAAAAAAAATCGTCCATTTGTCCGAATATTTGTTCCAGCACCAAAAACTACTGCGCCAAATTTAATGCTATTTTAGTTAAACATTTAAACAGTTGTATTCCTAAATGTCTGGCTTAAAAACTGGTGTACGTTATATATTTAAGATGACAGCCAAGAATGATATTTTTTTACAAAAAGCTAGTATTGCATAATCGTTATTAGGAGAAACAAAAAGAACATAAATTATTGAAGAGACTTAATTTTGAGAATTATTATATAATCTTTTTATTTCATATAACAAGAGCAGTTAAATTTGTTCAGCTTAAGTGACTAACAAGTCTAAACAACTCACTAATTGCTTAAACAATGCTACCCTATCGTTATCAGTAGGAAAACCATGAAAACAGTGGGGTGGGCTGCTGAAATATGGTGAGAGGACCACGGGGCATACCGCGGGGTGCGGGGAGGGCGGTCCATTGGTGGCTAGAGGCGGCCAACTACCAGATACCAGCACTCAGTCGCGCGCGTTCGTATCGCACGCACGTGTCTTCAGCACAGTCCGCGGCAGTGCAGCCTCCTGTCAGTTTCCACTCGCCGCAACAGTCCGGTAACGTACTCACACCCACCACCCACACAACGGCGCGTGCGCTTGCATAACAACAGTTTCCGCCTCGCCGCCCGTTATGAAAGCGCGCCGCCGAACACGCAGACATAGTGACCCGCGAATGCAGTGAACAAGCCACGTGTATGCATTGGTGATACAGAGTGAGGTGTCGGCATATCAAATCATAATTAGACGTCTAATCAAATGCAATCCGCGTCCGTTGCTACACTGAGCAGCGCAACCTCGCCGCCCGACATTGGCTCGTTTCGACACCCCAAACGTCGCTAGAAAACTGATTTCGTTAACATTGAACTATAGTTTGTTGGCCGTTTTATGACAAATTAAATGTTTTAAATCCATTATATTTGTGCTGAAAGGTTGCGACGCGGTCCCCGGCTCACAGGTAAAGGTTGTGTTGACGAGCTAATTTCGCTGTTAAAAATATATATATGTATACAGGGTGATACCGAAATTATCAGCATAATTTTAAAGAAGTATTGCCAGTACCAATAGCGAAACTAAACATATTTCCCATAAAAACCTGTTTCGAAAACTATACAAAAATATCAGATTTTCATACTAACACGATATGTATGTCAATTTTATATTTTTATACACTTTGTTGTTATTTTTCGAACGATGTTTCTATGGGAAAAATGTTATTTAGAGAGTAGAACGCTCTTTTGAAATTATGCAAATGATTTAAATTTCGCCCTGTGTATATTTGTAAAAATAATAATAAAAACGTCGATCAGTCTAAACAGATATTACTATCCATTTTGAACTATATATATTAACCATTTACCAGTTTTTATACACTGACCACTGCAACTTCGTTTTTCTCTTGTTATTTTTACTGATAGAGCTTTCCCTGATAAGAATTATCAGGGAAAGCTCTATGCCCTAAATTATTTACTTAATCTGTCTATAAAATAGTAGTGTTTTGTTATTTCAATCACGTGATAAATGTGTGCTAGGTAAATATTTTCATATTCATACACAATATTTACCGAACCAATCGTTCTTATGACGTCACTTCCACGTGTCCTTGCAGTGGCTCCAAAACTGTGGATGGTTCCGGTTAAGTCCTTATATATCTATGCAATTGTATGCACTTATTATGAATTTTAATTGCACACACATTCAACACATACAAGGAAAACTACATTAACATTATAATTTTATTGATGTGACCTTTTGTCACAAATAAAAATTTATGCTCACTTAATTACATAATTCCATTCAAATTATCACACCAAGTTAATAAGTAGCACGCAGTGTATCGTATTAATAATAGTTAATAATTTAAAATAATAATAATAATAAACTCTTTATTGCGCACAATAGAGATGTATACAAGGAGTATTTATGCAAAATGTGTATATACAAAAGGCGGTCTTATCATTAAAAGCAATCTCTTAAGTACAGAAATAATTCAGAAGTTCGTTATTTTCAAAGTTTCTAAATCGTGTAACATCGTTAAAATCATTGTTATTTCCGTTGCGTTCCTTTAAATTTAATTTAATATCTTATTTTTCATAGGATTTTTTTCGAAGATCGAATTAAATAGAAACCCAATAGGTAATAAATGTTATATAAGGAAACTTGCTATTTCCTCGAAATTAGAATAGATTATGACAAACTTGTAATCGAAATGATATAATTAACTGAAACCGGACTTGTAATTTTGTAAATTATGCGTAAATGACCTGTACTTGTTGGATACAAGTTCTAATAACAGTTTCTTAAATATATCTAACAATCCAACTATTTTAATAAAAAATTCAATGTAAAAGTCAATAATCCTTACTAATATAAATATGGAAATGTGTTTGTTTGTTATCTTTCGACACCTTACCCCCTTAATTATCATGAAATTTAATTATTCTTTATCCATGTATATAAATAATTCTTTACTTCGCAAATTATGTAAAAATGAGTAATTTATATAAATTACCAAGTGTCTAGTCATAGATATTTTTATATAAATATAATTTTTAATAAACAAAATCAAGAGATGAAAAAGAATCTCTTAAAATGACTTCTTTAGACTACCATAGATCATTAGTTTCATTTAGCCAATCAACGCCCTCTTCGTAATCAACTTAACGACATAGAAAAAATGTGTATTCCTATTTTATTATTATTACAATAAGGTGCAATTTACTGTAAAACAATTTAAAAATATAAATTATTTTAGCAACTGTTTAAAATACTTTATAGAGACTATTCTAACAATTAAAAATATTGCAGCTAAAGAGATCCAATTAAAAGGTTTCTCAATTTTATTATTGGTTAGCGAAATTGACGATACCGTATCCGCGTTAAGGGTTCATGGCTCCGTGATAGTTGCTGTCAGCCATAAGATCGCCATAATACACGGTCAAGGCCAAGTCAACCCCCCTCCCCTCTCCCAATAAATGTAAAATAAAAAAGTATTCGATAATAAACTATTATCATTTTATTGTTTCATAGCAACAAAATCCAGTGGTTCTCAAATTTTTCCGTCACTTTTAATTTATTTTACAAATTATTTAATGTTGAACGGTAAGAAAATATTGCTTCATTGTTATTATGTATTCAGCCTACTTTAAACAAACAATAGAGAAAGATCGTAGCATTTCTACTACTTTACTATTAACCTTTAAGTCGTTACCTCATTCACAATTGTTTAACTCACTTTATTTAATGTTGAACTGTACTTAATTTACGTCATTGATTCTAAACGTTTTACTCTTTATACTTGTGTACTTATTGTACATTACGACGATATAAATATTATGTTTTATTCTCTTCATAATACGGAACATGTTTAATTATCCCTTCACTATATTTATTTCTTTTACTTAAAAAATAATTATGAGTAAACAATTTTTGTTCGTTTAATTTGATGAGTTAAAATATTAACAATTAAAATTAACTATTACCATTCTGTATTATAATAATTATCATCTTTTACAATGTAATGTATTGGCAATGATAATCAATTATGTAAATCAAAATAATCATTACCAGCCTGTGCGTCGGTATAGACACTCAGATATATACGGAGTGATATTTGAAAGTGAAATGATAGAATGTGTGTCGAACACGTAACAGTGATGACGGTGACCGATATGAGCTATTTGTCAATAGACTGTGATATCCATTACCTAAATAACTATATAGTGAGGATTTTTTTTTAAGAAAATTAAAACCTTACTCCATCTCAATATTCCATTTCATAATTACAAAAATAAAAAAATTCGCATTCTTATTCGTTCAATACCAATTTTATTATTATTTATTTTTTTGGTTTATAATTACATATTTTCTGGAAAAATAAATAATAATAAATAAACAAATATTAATACCGAGTCTTTCTTTCTATTTTATTATTTCTCTAAAATATTAGTTAAAAATTAAAAAAGAATTTGTTAAACAAAAATGCTTGTTAAATGTAAAAAAATGTTAATTTTTTTCTATTTTTATTATAATTAAAATATAAGGAAAAAGGAAATGGAAATAATGATTCTAAATTAACAAGAATATTATGCAGTGGCTATAAATAATGTCAAGGTCATACGTACGAGTTATGTCCAATATAAATTTTGAGTCGTTTGTCCTGAAATCTAATAAACAAGTATTACCCAACCAATCAGACCTAAAGTGACCAATAAACTAATATTCTTAGATATTTTGTAAGTGGCCATGGAGTATCGAAAACAGCTTAATACAAAAGAGACCGTCGCTAGACCTTCAATTTAATTTGAACCAATAACTTGCGTGTTGGCATTGCTAAATGAAATTACGTGCTTGCAACGCCCGTTACCGTATTTTATCATTTTTGCATTTATTGATGATAATGTAAATTATAGAGACTATGTTATTTTACATTAAATAGAGAACATATATATATATATATATATATATATATATATATATATATATATATATATATATATATATATATATATATATATATATATATATATATATATATATATATATATATATATATATATATATATATATAGCGTTAATCTCCTATAATTTGACAAACCCCAAATTCATTTGCCGCCCTATCACTTAAAAAAAAAAACGTTAAAAAATTATATCAAATATTCTTTATAGAATAGAGTACGTGCATAGACAATTAAAATTGTAAATATTCTTAAACTGAAATTAATAAATATGGGATTTTATCTTCAGAATGTGATAGGATTCGAAACCGTTTTTACATTCACAGTAATAACTGGTTGAATATCGTTCTAAAAGCTGCCAAATTTATCACTTAACGATATTTTGTATGTGGTACACACTACGCTCTGATAGATGTTCGAATTACGATACTAATTTAAATTTTGTCGAAACTGAATTCTCGGAAGTTTTATTTTCATTAGAATATTTAATATCTATATAATGTATAGATTAAATAATAAAAAAATCAGTGTGTTTCAAATTATCAAATAAGTTATTAAAATAACAACCATCTATTTGTAATGCGGAATCGATAAATAACACTTACGCAAAAATCGAGATGCTATTTTATGACGTAACACTTATATCTGTTTTTATTTAATGAATGGAATATAGTGTTACATAGGCATTTAAATTTGATCCTTACATCATATATCTAAAGTGCAATCTACATTAAATATAAATGAAATATTATTTATTTTTTTGTTAAAAACACCAAAATATTTTTGATATGCAGTTATAAACTAGAGCGCAATTTTACGAAATGAACATAATTATATGCAAATAGATTAGTATTACAAATCTAATTTAAAATTTAGATATATTGTTGTTAAGTATTATTTTAGAATGAAAACGGCTTAAATATTATAAATTTTGTGTTATTTTTCGTTGATTATAATTATTACGATGAAATTTTTCTTAAAAGCTGTTCTAAATTCAAAACTATTAGTTACACTTTTTCGGTTACTATTATGTATATAATAATGTGATCTCTTTAGATAAAAATAAATAAAGAGGTACTCAAGAACTAATGTAATTTATAATTTTGTGCTTACTTACTAATGTACTATAGTAATACATGTAATGTCATAATTATGACCGGAACAAAGTCGCAGACAAGAGACATAATAATAAAGTTTGAGTAACACTGACCGATTTTTCTACACGTACATTTTTGAAATTGCTAAAATTATGTAATTATATTTTTAGTGCCTAAAATTTTAACCAACCTAACTATTATTCATTTAAATATTATATCATCAATTAATCTATTAATGCATTTATATGTAAAGATACAGTTCTTAAGCATTTTTCTGTCCAACCAGTGTGAGATCTGGAGAAAGATATTCATTCTAAGATAGGTCATATTAAAAGATAGGTCATATTCATTCTAAGAGATCAATTTATGTCAACAAAAATATTTATCCATATCGGTTCAAACAT